ATGAACCAAAGAGAAAAACTGTACTGGGGAAAATAAATCTGGAACAATCACCTCAGTAGGTAATATTATTTTGTATTACCAAATTCCTGAGTAACCAAGCATGAACAGTAGTCTCGATTTTCTTTGAAGATATCTGAATAGAGGAGAAACCTCTATCACAATAGAGGGATGATTTCAATCACTGCTTTTCATGGACTCGTTTTAATTATGATAAAAATATTAATATATAAAGGACCAAGGCAAAATGAGACAAATGAGTTTATACAATGAGTTTTAAATGAATTTAAAAGTATTTCATTGAAATAATTGTATTTTATTCTTTATTGGGGTATACACAAGTACAGGTTGGGGTTTAAATTTCTTTCCTCTTAAAATTCATGTTCATTGAAGATAGTTTTTCAATTTTTTAATGTTATTACATATTAAAACATTTAAATTGTGATTTTGTTAGTCTTTCTTTTGCTATCTCATGTGAATGTATTTGCATACTTTTAAATGTCATTAGATGGCCTTTATATTTTCTTAGATTATTTGATTTTAATTTTTTAATTTACATTTTAATTCTATACTGAAACATTACATCTTTTTATAACATCCTGAAACAATTCTATTAGAATGACTCATTCACTATGGCTAAATTATTAACTAGCCTCCCCCAACTACAATCTAAAAACTATCTCATATAACATAATATTTTTCTTAACTTTGTGAGATACTATCCCCAAAGCAAAAGCACTTTCTTATAGTCCTTATACCTGCAACACAGGAAGATAATAAATAAAGCTCTGGCTTTAAATGCTTCCAAATCTGTTTTCTTATCCTCATTCTATTGTTACAAATGTATAAGGCACCTCTCCTAATGTTTTACTTTCAATTCATTAGGAAAGTACACCAAATCTAAATGTGTTTGATCTTAAAAAAGCAAAATAGACTTAAAATATGTAAAGTAAAACTTAGTTGAGCTATTCAACCATCATTCCAAATTCTTTCTCTACTTTCTTTTTATTTTCTTTCTGGGACTCAAATTAGACGTGCAGTGTGGGCCTTTGCTTTCTATCCTCTGTTTCACCTAACTTCACATCTTGTCCTTGCAGTTTGTGCTGAATTCTTAGCAATATTTTCAGATATACCTTTCCATTCACAAATTATCCCTTTTCCTGTGTCTAATCTGCTCTCATTCACTGAGTTTCTAATTTCAATGATAACAGTTTTTGTTTCTAAGGATGTAGTTTCAAACTTATTAGCTTTTGGTGGGTTTTTTTGTTGTGTGATCAGTTTTTATTTCTTCTTTTATTTCTTAAAATCATCTAAATATTATTATTTATAATATGTAGGATTATTTAAACATCTAAAGTCCTTGGTGACCAAATTCATTCTTCATATTTCCTGTTGATATGTTGGCTTGTTTCCTGAAGTATTTGACATTTTTTTTTAATTTGGTTGAGCTCCATTAATGGGATTCATAAGGAAAAATTAAAGATGATTTCTTCCAGAGATTAATTGCATTGTCATCTGTAAGAAGGCAGGGTGTAGCTAATGATTTGGATGTCTGGAGGCCCTTTTCAAGCTTTCAGGCTGACGAAAGTCTCAGATTTCTTCTATCAACTTCCAGTAAACCCAGAGCTTGGCCTTAGAATCCCAGCACCAATATATAGGTTATTACCCTGAAGGGACACTTTGCTTTTGAACTCATTTACCCAAATGTTGCTCCCTGTTCTGCTTCTAGCTAAGTGCCTTCCTTTAGCGATTTCCTCATTTCTTACAAGGAAAGCAATATGTTTAACCTAATTATTACAGGTTATAATTGTCTTGTAGTGAAAACATTTTCAAATAACAGTGTACTTTTTCCCGAAGTTATTTCTTTGCATGCCCTAACTTAATATTTTTATGCATTGAAGTTCCTCAGCTATACAAATCCAAGTTGCTATTTGATAGACTATAAATAAACTATTATTTATTTATCTTGTTTTACTTTAGAAATCCATTTTTTATATCTGTTATAAAAATGGTTGTGAAACACTGCTTCAAGCTATCTGGACTATCAGAGAAATGAAAATGTAGTTTTTATTTAATAGTTTTTATTAAATATGTCTTAAATATTTCAGCTACATAGCTGCTCTACCTTTCACAATAACTGTACACTTATTCAGAAACAGTTTGATTTAGGTGCATTACATCAGTCTAAGAAAGAACTTTGTAAACTAGGCAACAGTATGAACATAATTTGTAAGCAAGACCAAAGGTCTTTTGAAGCTGTGTTGCTTACCTTTCACTTTTATGTTTATCTAGATGTTTGCCATTTTTGATGCTCTTCTTCCCTGAATATTTATCACTTGGAAACATTACCCATCAGCCTGAAAAACTTCCTTTAACATTAGCTATAGTGACTATCTGCTGTCAAGGGATTCTTTTGGTTGACTGAAAATGCCTTAAATTTCCCACAATCTTTGGAATATTTTTCACTGGATATCAAATACTTTGTGGACAGTTACTATTTCTTTTGACAATTTAAAGATTTTTTTTACTGTATTCTAGCCCCCATGGTTTATAATGAATATGAGGAATTTTTGCATAATTGTTTTCCTGCAGGTAATGCACAAAAACTGCTTTCAAGATTTTTATCTTTGACTTTTAAGGAGTTTGGCTATTTTACTCATACATACAAATTTCTTTGTATCTACCTTGCTTAGGGTTTGCTGATTTTCTTGAAAGTGTAAATTTATGGATTTAAACAATTTGGAAAAAAATGCAATCATTATATCTTCAATTTGTTTGGCCTTATTCTTTCTCTTCTCTTGAGTTTTGGGACTTCAATTCTATGCATGTCATATGTTTGAATAATACTCCACAAGTCCTTGAAGCTCTGAAGGTTTTCCAATATTTTTCTTCATATTGGACAATTTCAAGTCCACTAACTTGTGTTTCTGTTAAATCCTTGCTTTTAAGTATACCCAGTAATGGTTTTTATACAAAATATTTTACTTTATTTCTCAGTTCTAAATTTCATTTGGCTCTTTTTTTCCTACTGCCCTTCTTTGCTGAGGCATCCTATTTTTTTCATTGTTTGCAAGCATGTTTTCGATCACGTCATTAAGCACCGTTTTAACAGGTGCTTTAAAATATTTTCCTGATACTTCCAACTTCTGCATCATCCTTATATTGGGCTGCATTGATGGCTCTTTCCTCTAGAATTGGTCATATTTTTCTGGTTTTTCATGTAAGTCACTTGAGATTATACAGCATACATTGTAAAAGTTATATTGAGAAGTCTCTCTTTTCTCATATATTTCTCCAAAAAAGTGTTGTCTTTCTTTCTCTCTTTCTTTTTCTCTTTCTTTCTTCCTTTTTCTTCTTTTTCTCTCTCTCTTTTTTTTTTTTTTTTGTTTTTCTCTCTTTTTTTTTTTTTATGGAGTTGCTCTGTCACCCAGGCTGAAGTGCAGTGTCATGATCTTGGCTCACTGCAACCTTTACCTCCCAGGCTCAAGCAAGTTTCATGTGTCAGCCTCCTGAGTAGCTGGGGTTACAGGTGTGCACCACCATGACCAGCTAATTTTTTGTATTTTTGATGGGATTTTGCCATGTTGGCCAGATTGGTCTCAAACTGGCCTCAAGCAATCTGCTCCCCTCAGCCTTCCAAAGCGTTGGGATTACAGACGCGAGCCACTGCACTCGGCCAGTTTTCCTTCCTTAGCAAGCAACTGGTGTAGTTGGACTTAAATTTAAATCTCTATTTTTGGGGCAGCAGGTCAAACCTCAGTCCAGTTCTCTCATTCTTACCGTAACCTGACTTGTGCTTGCATCAGTCAGAGATTTAGGGGAAAAAATTATACACAGAAGTTAAGAGCATCTCCTCCATGTTTTTGATTTTATAGAATTGATTCTTCATTTTCAGCATCTGTGGTTCCTCCTAACTCTATTCTCCATTATTGGAGCACAGTGGCTTATGCCTATAATCCCAGCACTTTGGGAGGCAGATCACAAGGTCAGGAGATGGAGACCATTCTGACTAACATGGTGAAACTCTGCCTGTACTAAAATACAAAAAAATAGCTAGGTGTGGTGGCAGACACCTGTAGCCCCAGGTACTCTGGGGCAGGCTGATGCAGGAGAATCACTTCAACCCGGGAGGCAGAGGTTGCAGTGAGTCGAGATCATGCTACTACACTCCAGTCTGGTGACAGAGCGAGACTCTGTCTCAAAAAAAAAAAAAAATAAGGCTGCAGGTTTTTTATTGACATTTTACTCACTCTACATAGGACTAAGATTGGCCTAAGGCTAACGATTGTAAAAATGATTAACTTTTGCCCTGCCATACCTTCTTTGAAGTGTCATCTGCCCTCCAGGATCTGTCTGGCTTTGTTTACTCTTCAATGGCTTCAGGTCATGTGTGTGTCTGTGTATGTAACGAATATTTATTTACAGGAATACTAAATTATTGGTATATCTAGAATACCCTGTATCCTCATCTAAATTTGCTGGGAAATATTATAAATTATGAAGGCAGTAAGAGTACATTTTTAGATGTCAAGATCCTTTTGTATGATTGTAGAGATGAACATATTTGATTTTGGGGGACCATCTACAGCACAAATATTGCTTATGAATGACTACTCTAGTGTCATATAAAGTCCCTAAATTTCTGATGTGTTAGTGGACAACTAAAATTTTTAATTTCTATTTTCCCTTTAAAGTTTTTAGTTCCTTGAGGCTTGGATGTTCATTGTTTTATCCTTGTTTCTGGTGCATTTCCTGGCTGATAGAACACATGATATATTTTTAAAAGAATAAATTAAATGAAAAAAGGATGAATGAGTGAATGAATATACACATGATTTCAATTCATCTTTTTTTTTTTTCCAAATCTACCCTGGAACAAAGCACATACTTTTTTCAAAGAAAGTTTTGCACATAATATAACCCAATTTAAGACCCTTCAATTAGCATACATTATTAGGATACAGTTCCACATTTGTTTAATTGCTTGTCTTTCTTTCTCCCAGTTTCTTTCAACTTTTCTACTGTTCAAAAATTATGTCCCGCCAAAGACTGGAAGGTGCATAAGGGAAAATGTTACTGGATTGCTGAAACTAAGAAATCTTGGAACAAAAGTCAAAATGACCGTGCCATGAAAAATTCATATCTCATGATGATACAAGACATTACTGCTATGGTGAGATTTAACATTTAGAGATTACAGCATTCCCCATATTTGCAGCGAATTTTTTGTGCTACAAATTTGGCAAATGTCCGTGTGGAAAAACAGTTTTAACTTCATGTGCTATTAACTATACAAATATTAGTTAAATAAATTGTTGAATTACACGATTACTTTTGAGGTTTTTTTGGGGGGGGCAAGAGGAGGGGAAATTCATTTTATGTTCTATACCTAGTTCTTCTCTGCAAGTGACCCTGGCTTCTTAGCAGATTCCACTGCAAAATTTAAGAGACTGAGTATATGATTTCAGCACCTATGTTTATTGCAATGCTCATGAAGGCTTTAGCCAGATATCGTGGCCTCTGAAATTAAGGATGAAGTTCTCAGAAAGAGAATGCAGAACAGAGCTCTTACTTAGATTTAGTATTTTCAGAGGAGAGCTAACATGTAGCTAATTCTGGCTTAATTTAAATTAAACTTTTGCTGAATGAAGGTTAGACAGTACTTTAAACCTTCTCAGTGGTAAGGTCAATATACATGTTAAATTAGAAATATCAAATAAGGGTTCTCAGCATGGGACTCAGTATGTTAGAATCACGATCTATGTCAATAGCTCAGTTTCTGCAAACCCTATGACTAGCAGTGCTTTACAACCCTGGTTGAACATCAACCATCTGAAAGAACTTAGAAAAAGGCAGCTGCTGAGACATCTGAGGGAAAAAGTCCCTCCTGAGTTTCACAGAAATCCACAATAAGAAAAACTGAAAGAGAAGTAAACTATTAATATCTTCAGTGAAACCAGTGGTACCCCAAATATCAAACTGTAAGACTCTCTCAGGTGCAGCAAAATATGAACCAAATCAATAATGGAATTAGAAAATTAGAAATTAATACGTGACCTTTGTTCTTCTGGAGCTCAATTTTAAAGAACAAGAAAGAGGAAGCAGGGAGTAACACAAAAGAATTTAAAAAGAACGTTCTGAAAGGAATTAACAACAAATAACAGCACGGAGCAATTGTGCAATGAATGACTTCGCTAAGAATCTCATGTATCTCCTGCTTACAATCAAAGAGAAAAATGTGAAAAGGCAGAAAAACATGTCTCTCAGCAAATAATAAACCAGATTTAGGAGAACGGTGGTCTAAAACCACACGGCGTGACAGAAGCTTACTTCCTCCAGTTTAGGCTTTACCTCTTCACATTATCCCTAAATAATGTATGAGTCAGACACAATTGCTCCCTTTCAAGAGTAAAGAAGAACCTAAAACGAGAATTAGTATATGATTTATGCATAAGCATGTCCATTTCTAAACATCTCCCAAAAAAGAAAAGTAAAAAACAGATAAAATATGTTACAGAAGAACATTTACTCCAAGAAATGTAAAATCATTTTCAAGCAATTATTCTCAAGTTCTCAAGTAAAGTAAAGTTAAAATGGCAAAAAAAAAAAAAAAGGATTTTTAGTCCATCTAGGTATCCAAGTGTCATCATATGGCAAATAAAATAAAGAAAGATAAAGGAAAAAGGAGAAGGAGAAGGAGGGGCAGGGAAAGAGGCACAAAAAGAAGCAAGGGAGATATACAGCTTTCACTTCCATGTTGCATATGCCTCAAAGAAATGCTGCTACCACTTTTATAATGGAAAATAGTCAAATTAACTTCTCAACATCTTTCAAATCCACTGAAGAATGAACTTTGTAGAGCAACCAGCTGGCCAAAATCTATGGTGACAGGAACATGTGGAAGAGAGGAGACCCAGCCACACTTATTTAGGGTAATCAAATCCAACACCAGATACCATTCAGAATTCAGCCTGGATCACTGAAAGATGGATTAGGGCTGAGTGTATGGTGGCACTGAGTGTGAAGCTCCTGGGGTGTGCAGAAATTAGGGAACCCCACCACCTCTCCCAGACTATTTCTCTAAACTCCACCAGCTTCTCACAGAAATGATTGGGAAGAAGCAGAAATTCTTTGTGTCCAATGTGATGCAGACCTGGGGGCCAGAAAACAGGGATAATACAGAGGGGGCATGAAATTCCACAGAGCACCTCTCCCCTATCTGCTATCTACACAATGGAACAAGTGTGTGTGCTGGGAAGAAGGACAACAACCATTACTGCCCTTAGGGAACTGGGAAACATCATTGCACGTGGGAGAAGGAAGCAGAAACACAAAATACACTTCTGTGAGAGGGGCAGGAATACACACTGGGCCAACAGAGACCTGAGAAGGCCAAGCACGAAGATTACGGCACTCACTCAGTGCCTAAGACTGAGTCAGAGTGAGAACAGCAATCACCCTGTCCACTCACTGTCTTGCACTACCGAGATAACATTTTCAGAAAAGAAGTAAAAGAGAATGCTGGTGGAAGAGAAACAGGAGAGGAATAAGAATGTGCAAAGTAATCCTCTCCAAGGCACTGTGCAAACAGAAACTCAAATGCTCAGGATGAGGAAGACATTCTTCTGTCAAACAAATCTCCATATTCAACACCAGCTATCATTACAGGAATTTAAAGTGTGTGAAACAGTGAGGATAATCACAGCGAGAACAAATCACAAACCCAAACCAACTCTTTTTTGTTTGTATTTTTAGAGACAGGATCTCACTCTGTCTCACCCCGGCTGACTGCAGTGATGTGATTACAGCTCACTTGAACTCCTGGGCTCAAGGAATCCACCCCTCCCGGTCTCTGGAAGGGCCTGCACCGCTGCACTGCTTAATTATTTATTTAAGAGATGGTCATCTTGCTATGTTGCACAGGGTGTTCTCAAACTCCTGGTCTCAAGCGGTCCTCCCATGGCAGCCTCATGAACAGTTGCAATGACAGGCGTGAGCCACAACACCTGGCTCCCACTCTTAATGATTAAGTCAAACCCCACATTAAAGACCCAGGAGAAGGACCTGTGTGCTCATTTCCAAGTACGAAAGCATTTTAACTCAATTTTCACTGTCCTAGACAAGATGAAGGTGTACAACTTTCAACAAACAAGTAAGAGGTATATGAAAGGACACACACACAAAAACCGACACACTCCTGGGAATAAAGAGGGATACTATATAAAAATAAAGGAGTTGTATACTAGGGCTGTTTCAGTAAAGTATCACAGAGTAGGGAGCTTAAGCAACAGAATTTTATTTTTCACAATTCTAAAGCCTAGAAGTTCAAGATCAAGGTGTTGGCAGGTTTGGTTTCTTCTGAGGCATCCCTCCTTGGTTTTCAGATGACTGCCTTTTTGCTGTACCTCCACATGGCATTTCTTCAATGTGTGTACATCTCTGATGTCTCTGTGTGTCCAAATTTCTTCTTCTTACAAGGACATTGTCAGATTGGATTAGGGCCCACCCCAATGGCCTCATTGTAAGTTAATTACATCTTTAAAGGTTGTGTCTCCAAATACAGTCACATTCTGAGATACTGGGTTAGGACTTCAACAAATGAATTTTGGAGTAGTACTATTCAGCCAATAGTATTACACTCTCTGGGCCCCACGGTTCTTAACAAGGGTCAATTATAAATGTGTATGAACCAAGGCAAAAAATGACAGAACTAAAAGGGAAAATGGACAAATTCAGAGTTGCAGCTGGACATGTAAACACCTCTTTAAGTAACTAAACTAATAGACAAAAAAAAAAGATAGGAAACAGAAGAACTAAACAACACTATTGACCAACCGGATGTAATTGACATTATAGGAATCTCTATCCAACAACAGGGAATATGCATTATTTTCAAGTGCACATGAAACTTGCATGTGGAGATCATATTTGGAGACATAAAAACTGCAAATATTTACAAATATAGGTATCATACAAATGTATATCTCAAAACATAAAATTAAACTTGAAATTAATAAAAGAAAGATACTTGGAAAATTCCTAAATATTTAGAAATTAAACAGACTTTTAAATAATGTATAGGCCAGAGAGGAAGAATCAGGGGAAATTTTTAAAATGTGTTCTGAGTTGAATAAAAATAACAATATAGCACATCAAAACTAATGGATTTTAGCTTACGCAGAGTTTAGAGGGAAATGTATAATATTGAATGCTTGTATGTGAAAAAGAGATAATGTAGAATTTATAATCCAAGCATCTACTTGAAAAAAACACACACACACACACAAACAGAAAAAGAAGAGCAAGCTAAACCCAAAGCAAGCAGAATGGAAGACTTAAACGATTCAATTTCACGCCTTACTATAAAGCTAAGTTTGTTAAGCTGGGGTAGAATTGTCAACGAAGAGATATACAGATGAGTGAAACTGAAAAGAGAGGCTCAAAATAGACCCAGGCAAATATCGTCGACTGGTTGTTTTTAACACAGTGCAAAGGTCATTCAGTGGAGGAAAGCCATGATCTCTTTTGTCTGCCTAATTACCATTTTCCAACAAACAGCTATAGCACTTAGTATGCTAAGTGAATTCAGCGGCAGCTGACTGAGAAGGAAACTATAGCTTAAACAAGATAAATATTTACTTCCTTTACTGAATCTAAGATGTTTTCAATTATAAGGTGTAACGCTAATATCAATTAGAAAGCAAAAATAAAGTTGTCAATTAAACTACTGCAAGTCATTGGTACAACATTTCTGATTCCAAAACATTACTACTGGGGGGGAAAAAACCTGTCTTAGAATATATGCAATAGTTTGTCTCTCTGACATAATTGAACTGCTATAAGGTGTCTGCTCAGTTCTCCCATCAGTAGGGTGCTGCCCTTGACTGCCTAGTCCTGGTTTGGTTCACAGCCATGCTCACATTTTCACTGCTGGAAAAGAAGAAAATAATGAATGGAAGGGTATGTCCCTACTCTTTAAAGGCATGATTGGAACTTAAAAATCACGCTGCCACGTGTGTACCTATGCAACAATCTTGCATGTTCTTCACATGTACCCCAAAGCCTAAAATGCAATTTTAAAAACTGCTTCCATTCTATTCTAGTAGTCAGAAATTAGGTAAGTCATATTTTCACACCTAGCCAAAAGGTAGAGTGGAAAATACAGCCTTTCTGATGGCTTTCCATGTACGCGTTGGCTCAGGGGTTGCTTGCTATAGAAAAAGAGACGTGAGGGAGCTATAAGCAATAAATGCCACATCAGTTCAGATGTTGCTTTCTTCCTTCCATTTTCCCTACTAATTCTCTTGCTTCTAGATATTATTTCATAGTTTTATTTAATAATGACTAACATTTATGTACTGAACATTTAGTACTTGCAAGCAGTGCTGAATAATATTACTTAATAGCAAAACAATAATATATCTTTAAGCTACTGTTCTTACCTGAGTTTTAAAGACTGGGAAAAACAGAAGTAAAAGTCATGCAAATATGTATTGTAGTAAATGGTAGAGCTAGGACTCCAATTAGACAGTCTGACTCCACGGCCTTAGTATCTGCTAATATACCTATTAATAATTCTTCTTTAGTGATCGCCCTGTTGTATTGCAGTAGTTGGAACACATGTCTGTCCCTCCACTATGATCTATTAGAAAACATGAAGTATGTCTTACTCATCTATTCATTCCCAGCTTCTAGTGCAGAGCCAAGCACATAGAAGGAGCACATAGAAGATATTTTCTTCTGTCAATAAGAATCAGTCAGTGGTTTCATAAAATATTTACTGTTCCCTTTAGAATTTTCTACAGCACTCCCTAAATCCTTCAGCCTTTTGCTGGATTAGCTTAAATACTCCATCTGGAAGAAAGTCATGGACCTGGGTGGATCACAGCTCTTTGACCCTCATTTGTGAGTTTATTGTATTGTAACTTGTTTATGGCTTAATCTATTATTACATCACAAGAAAGTGCTGTCCAATATTGTTGGTCTTCACCTGAGTGAACAGGTCTAAATTTCCTAACTCTTACAGTCTGAAAAATAATTTATATAAAATGGTTCACACAGAAAGTTGACAAACAAAAGAAAGCTTACCCCATTCACTCAGAAGATTCATATATGAAACAAGATTTTCCACTGAAGGTATTTTTTTTTTTTGAGACAGAGTCTCTTGTTCTGTCACTTAAGCTGGAGTACAGTGGCATGATAATGCTTCACTGCAACCTCAACCTCCTGTGCTCAAGGGTCCCTCCCATTTCCTCCCATCTCAGCCTCCTGAGTAGCTGGTACTGAAGACATGCACCACCATGCCCGGCTAATTTTTTTTTTTAATTTTTTTGTAGAGACAGGGTCTTGCTTTGTTGCCCAGGCTGGGCTTGAACTCCTGGCCTCAAGTGATCCTCCTACCTTAGCATCCCAAAGTGCTGGGATTACAGGCATGAGCTACCACACCCAGCCCACTGTTGCTTTTTTATTTTATCATTTTATCCAAGAAAGAAATTATCAAGTGCAAAGTATGAGAGCAGAAGATTATTACACAAAATAGAAGTGTTCACTTATTTCTAACAGTGATCAATAAGTAAGTTTCAAACATAAAAAATCAGAAGATATACTTTATCATTAACCTCTAATTCTTACTATTAACTATGGAGTGAAGGTTTGAGAAATAAAACAGAGTGAGAAGAATTATTTTACCTGTTATGTTGTTGTGTATTGTTTACATTCTTTTAACAACCATATTTTCATTACAAAATTAGAAAATATTTTCTGAGGTCCTTTTTAGTCTCTGCATATTTCCATTTATAATTATTATTATTATTATTATTATTTGAGATGGAATCTCACTCTATCACTCAGGATGGAGTGCAGTGGTGTGATCTTGGCTCACCGTAACCTTTGCTTCCCAGGCTCAAGCAATTCTCCTGTCTAGCCTCCCAAGTAGTTGGGACTACAGGTGCACACCACGGCACCCAGCTGGTATGAAGACAACTACTTTCTATCTTCCTATAGGTATTCAATAAACAACAGAAAACCATGGACCTGAAGCAAGAAATGTGCCCAGTGTCTGGTAATAATATTGTTCCAGGAAATTTTGTGAGGATGATAAAGAGTAGGTTTGGGAACTGTAATCCACTCTGCAGAAAGTTTGCCTTCATTTTTGTGACTGAAAGACAAACATTACATGAGGCTTGAACTCAGATCACAGGAAAGTCCAGAGAGTTGTATATCGACAGAGCTGTGTTTGTGTGTGTGTGTGTGTGTGTCTGTGTGTGTGTGTGTGTGTTTGTGTGTGTGTGTGTGTGTGTGTGTATGTGTTCATTTATGATTTGAATGGGTCTAGTCCTACTTCTCGGGGGTGAAGTAAGAGTGATAGAGTAAATAAAATGTTACCAAAAATGAATAGGTATGAAAAGTATTTTTCATCTGAATTAATTTCTTTATTCAGTTATTATAATCTTGTTTTGCCTATACTATTGGAACTTCAGTCTTCTTTATTTTCTCTGTATCTTCCCTTACCATAATTAACTAATCTCTTCCATTCTTTCAGCTCCAGTTACCACCTATGAAGCAATGCATATCAAATTTACATCTCTCTCTCAGATCATTCCCTGATCATCAGACACATATACCACACTGCCTAGTTAATGTATCAAATAGAATATCTCAAAGGTATTTCAAACTAGACATATAAAAATAATTTATTAACTTTCCCTACAAAGGGAACCATCTTCTAGTGTTTCATATCTCAATAAATGGCACACCATACAAGAAAATTATGCAAGCTCTCAGTCAGTTGTCATCTTGTCATCAGCCTCTCTCTCTTACCTCTAGGCTGCTCCTTCCTCTCTTTCTCTCATGTCACTGAGGCTTGCCAATTTCTTTTTCTTGAATAATTCTCAAGTTTGTCCTGTTCTCTCAGTCACCACTTTCATGACCTTAATACAAGGATACTAAAATACGAAATAACTGCAATGACAAGGTCTTGGTGGGTGAAATGGAACTCTTACTCCATTTCAATCACTCACTATCATGCAACCTGAGTCATATTAAAAAGTAATATGCTGACAATACAACCTCCTATTTAAAATACTTCAATATCTTCCTTAGAATAACACCAAACTATATGGCAAAACCTAGAAGTCCCTGTGAGTTCTAACTATTGCGTACTTATTCCATCTCTTCCTACACCAAACCAGCGGCAATTCTCAGCACCACAATCATGTTAGACTAATGTTAGGAATTCAAACTCTCATGCTGTATCACAATGCCTTGGTAGAATTTGTTTCCTATTCCTGGAATTCTGTTTCTTCTCTTTCTTCCTTCTCTTCTCCGTAAAGTTAACTCCCAAACGTTCTCCATACCTCAACTCAGTTTTCAAGAACACTTGAGCTCTATGACAGGGTCACATCCCCCAACATGACTTCTGACTCTAGCACTCTGCCTCGTTTTTAGTATTACATATGCCACTCCTTGAGTCAATAGTTGATTAGTGTCCTCCACCCTCGGTTACCTGGAAATTACATGAGGGTCCTGTATCTGATTTTATATTTCTCGTTCCCAATGCCTACCACATAAGAGGTACTCAAGGGCCGGGCGCGGTGGCTCAAGCCTGTAATCCCAGCACTTTGGGAGGCCGAGGCGGGTGGATCACGAGGTCAAGAGATCGAGACCATCCTGGTCAACACGGTGAAACCCCGTCTCTACTAAAA